ATTAAAAATCTAACGATTTCGACGTTCGTTAAGAACCATCCAAGTATTGCGCGTTTATACCCACGTTTTACCGGCTTAACGGATTCATTGTTAGAAGACAGTTGAGAAAATATTACAACGAAACAAAATGTTGGCACATCCTCACTTCTCGCGCTTCAAGATCGTACTGAGCGTTGTTTAAACTGTTTTCAAATTTTTAACCAATTTTACAATTTTACAAGCAGCGGTGTGCTTCCAACCTGTGGACTAAATTAATAGCAAATTTTTCTTTGTTTTTACGCGAGTACCTCGTGTCTATTACTGATTTCAATGCTTTTTAAGTTGCCCCACTCATGCCTTTTAAATGTAACGTAGACCGTATAATTGTAAAGATTGTCGAAGACCGTAATATTAAAAAGTTTACATCATGGCACAAAACGATTACTGCACTAAGCTTACGTGCTAAGACCATATTGCATCAAAAAGGTTTATCCTGTCTAAAAGTTTTATCTTTAACTTATTCTCTGAGCTCTGTGAAACTTAAATGGAAAAAGAAGAAAAAAAACTTTGTTGAAATTATAAAATTTATTGTTGGTATATTATAAAATTATACAAATTTTTTTTCAGTAATGCTTGTACGTTGTTAGGTTGCCTTACGCTTTATCAAATCACATATGTTTACACATATGTAAATTAAATAAAAATAAGTTTCTGCGATGTTGCTGAAAATAATCAAGTGATTCTATGCAGCATACAAACATAGTCCGTATAGACCGTATTTTTACAAAGACCGTAATTATAATAATACGGTCTTTACGCATATTCTTTATATTACTACAGTCTCTAATTGTGTGTATGTCAGCATGTATATTGAGCAATATCGTAATATCGTGAACGTCAATATTTTCATCGCCTCGCATTTTGATTGGTGTAAAAGACGAAACGAGTTTTCGTCTTCAGGAACGATGTGTATAATGGGCATGATTAGCTGATGGTTTTATATTTATAAAAGTTCAAATTGTGTTTTGTGCTGGCACACATGATATATTTATGACTTTTGTTTATATATTTTGCTTTAACGGCGATGTTTCCATTCATCGTAGGCGGAGCTAATAACCTATTTACTTAAATCCGTACACACTTCTCTCAAAAACATAGAATTTTGTATCTGTGGTTTATATCTTTCAGGGAAAAATTTTAATAAAACAATTATTATTTTTGTATAGTTGTTTAATAATGTTATAACATTTTGTTTGAATAAACCTCAGTTCTGCAACATTCAATTTGAAATATTTTTATTTCATTGAATATGAAATTTAACTATAATAAGATTTCTCCATGGTGGCAAGTGATAGATATCTCCTTTAACTATAATAAAATCAGCTGTTATTTCGCTACTTACTCATACTTCAATGTGGTGATTTACAGAATGTTTCTCCTTAAACTGGATCAATTTTATTTTTAATAAGATTTTGTTAATAAGTATAGTAAAAAGACATACATTATTTTTGCATGAAATTGTTTTTCATAATTAGAATGATTCGATTTAAATGATATATGAAGGTAATTTCATTATGCCTCTCTCATAGAAGTCCTCGTCCCTATAGGAAAAAAAATGAGACAGTCGATTTTTGCAAGTCTCTCTTGAAGCGAATTCTTTACCAGAAAAACCGTTGGTCACGGTAATCACTTGATGCCCGGTCTGGACTATAAGGTAAATTCATAAGAACTTCCAAATCAAGCTACGGGAAATTTTAACAAGCCATTATCAAAGTGTGTGGCCTGACGTTGTCCTAATGGAACACAATTCCTGTCCTATTACACAAAGCTAGCAGTTTCTGGGCGCGTGTTTCCAGGGGCCTAATTGTTGACAGTACAGTTCTAAATTAAGTGTTTTGCGGTTAGAAAGCAGCTATACAGCGAGTTTCTTTTTATATCCAGTCATATTCAAAGGGTTCCAAACAGTGTTTTGTGCAATCTTCAGCTCTTGGGCTAACGAAACAGTGCTTATATGACGGTCGGACTCGACAAACTCAGAATAGCTACTACTACCCCTTTTAAGACATAAGATAAATTCGGTTAATAATTATTTGTGTAACTAGAAAAGGTATTAGAAAGCGACGAAATTGACACTGAAGATTACGACTTAAATATCTGACGGAAGCGGAAGCATAGAAAAGCGGTTTGAATAGTTAAAAGAATTAGTGGTGAATTTGACCCAAGTTGTACACGCAAGGACTATGCAACAGCAGGAGCAGATCACACAGCGACAGAAAAGCTTGGGTGTGGCAGCACTGACGGATATGCGAACGGAGGAAATAAGAGCAATCACAGGGGCAGATACAATACAAGATAACTCAATTGTTAAAGATGATGTAGGAGTACTGCCTGAGTTTATGGAGTACTGCTTGAGAATATGTTACAGCCAATATGGACGAGCCGTCAATAAACTCATGTATAATAAATGGGCTATCATAAATCAACTGGCGTAGACAAGAGCATTTTTATTAGTAGTATTGGTGGTGATATGATTACACAAGTAAGCAAATCAGTTGATAAACAACACTATGATATTAGAGCTGTTATCAACAGAACATAGATCACCACGCATGATGTACGGAACTGCAGATAGGACTGTTTATGTTCTCTTAATTAAAGGATATGAATTTAATATTTGTAGACAGTGTACATATCTATTTATTCCGATTTGAGTATTTTACAATTTTTACATTTTTAAATAAATGCAATTGTTTTCTTTTAGGATTTTGTGTCGAAATGATGAAAAAGTAACAAAGTTGTCAGTGAATTCTCACTATCATTTGCAAGTTCAATAATTTCAATAAATTTTATCGCGCAATTTATAGTACAGAACATGCGGAAACATTTTGTAATATTTCTTTCTACATTCAAAGCAAAATTAATTTGAAGAGTGCACCTCAAATAAATGCAATTTCGTAAAGATAAGATAATTTTATTTACACATATATTAATTTTAACATAAAAGTGGAATCGCTCGTTAATACGTATTAGATAGATTAAGCTATGTGAATACCAATGTATTTCTATACTTAAGTCTTTAGAACATAGCGAACAAACTGCTCGCCCCTAGCCCTTCCTTCAGATGGTCTCCATATGTAATCATCATGATCAATCAATGGTCAATTTAGGGTTACCACGAAATCATTTTAGATTCCATATTAAAAGTGACATTCTGCTAGTTTATATGACCGGGAACGAGGACTTCGAATTTTTTGCCGATACAAAGTTCCATGTACTTGCGATCTATCCTATCGCAGATATCTGCACCAGAAATCAGTCTGCACTTAAAGCTGCTAAGTTTTTAATAAAGAGATGCAGATGGTAACACCCACTATGAGTTCCAGTGATGTTATATGACAGGTACATATCGTACCTATCATAGCTACATTCTCACATCTACAAATCAACAAAACGCAGATAAGCTACCCTCCGCTTAATAATCCTTTAGAAATAAACAATAATAATGTGGATCCCAAATATATGTAATTCATTTTTATCAATTTCCCAATTATATCCATCGAAACTTACAGTGAATGTTATTTGATAAGCTTAAAACAGTGGCGTAGCCAGAACCCATATATTATTTTTCGTTTTAGTATTTGCATTATATTGTCAAGGGAGTCAATTACCTCACACCTCATCCCTTCATCTGCATTCACTCCTGGTTTTACATCGTTAAATTAATATTCAGATGTATCAAGATCTTCTTCGAGGATCTTGACGAACTTCTGGATCTCCGTTTAAATAGCATCATAAGCTTTGCCAAAGGTTCTAGATGGTTTTAACCCTTGGGTTTTTAATAATACGTTAACACAATAGGCTTTTAGGCCTAACCTATATACAATGCGTTGCTAAATTGATTTGCTTAGTTATATTGATCAAGAATAATAGAAATAAATTTTTTTGTATGGTGCCTGACACACTGGTTTCATCATATAGCAAACCTTTTGACAAACTTAATATACCTTTCTAACAATATAGATATGTGCGACGAGTGTAATATTGTATTTATGACGTATAAGCACTTAAGCTGTCTGATTAAACTGATTTGCAATAATACGAACAGTTCCTATCTATTTATTTAAAAAAACCCTTTTTATTGTTAGGTTTATTGTTGAAGATTAATTTTTTTTTATTTTTTTTTTTTGCACTAGTTATCTCTTTGGGAAACTTCTGTGTGATTTAGTGATAGTAAGAAGAAAAAAATTTATTTTGTTAAGAAAGTTTGTAGGAAATTACTGATATGTTATCTTAAAATTATTTTCTTCACTTATTTAATTAAGTTTGGTATGTATAAGATAGTCAAACTTGAATACTATATACATAAAAATTAATAAATGCAAAGCAAAAATAAGAATTCAAATGAGTTTAAATTTATTAAATTTATTTAAAATTTTTTAAACCTTTTAATTTTTATAAAAAAAGTCAATACATAATACCATATATTTAAATATGCAAATATTTTTTATTAATTTTTTTTAGTTCTTTGTTTTCATTTCTGCTTTAAGCTCATTACTCGTATATCCCATCTGGCGCCAAAAATGCTCTTTGTTGTGGTAGGTAAGGTTTGTTTACATCCAACATGGCAAAAGCTGAGTGTTTGTAAGCTCTGTTGTGTCAACAAAAAAATAACCTGTTGTCTGATAGCCACATCTGCAGGTTACCTATCAACATTGCAACTAAAATGCTTGTCAACAATTTTTGATGCTACCAGAGTGTGTAAATTTAACACTGACCCAAAATGGCTTAGTTTTGCTGTTAATACTTGGTTTTGTTTAAGCATTTGGGGTTTCATTTAACTAGTTTTCGCACTTTGACGGAATATTTAAATTGAATATTAGTATAATTTATATTTATATTAAGTTATTTTTGTCTATGATTAATGTGGTTAACATAACAAATAGATTTGAACTTGGAAAAAGTTTTCTGGCAACTCGAAATGTTGCGTCAACATTTGTGATGCTTTCAGTTTGTGAGCAAAAATCAAAATGAATTCAACGTTTCGCAGCAGTTTTGTGTTGTCTTTTGATTGTGGATGTCATTTTGTCGAAGTGCTGAACTGTTGAACGTAAATAAGTTTTGACGATTTGATTGCGAGTTAAAAATAGAATTTATTTTTAAATACGTATCCACAAATTTAATTTATGAAAATTCAAATTAAAAATAAAATCAAAATATTACTTATATTTGAAAGAAAATTATTTAAATTTATTTATAACATTATAATATGCAATATCACATTTTCGTATGACTGCAGCTTGCAACGAACATTGCAGTTTTATCTTGCCTTAGTAATGGACTGTAAATGGAATTTTCGGTTAATTACTTAAAAAATAAACCGTACTATATAAATATATAAAATACATTTAAGTATCACCGACGACGGCTGCAAATAATTATATTAATATTTTTAATAAATAATAATTGCAAACAAAATAATATTTTAAAAATTCAGCATAATAAATATAAATAAATAAATAAATAAATATGTGCGTATATGCTTTATAGTGCGTACTCGTGTATAAGATCGGTTGCAGTGGATCGAAATTGTCTTGGTCTTGGGTTACGGCATATTGATTACTTTCAGTTTAATTGTAACTGCAAAAGTGACTTGAATAACAGACGGCAAGACTCGTTTAAAACTAGTTCGAAGTAACAGCAACGAATTATTAAATCGAAACACTCCGCATGCCTTGCCTTCCCCTTCAATTAAAAACTATACAAAGCGGCCCCAAAACAATTTATTTACGTTTTATTCACTACTCGCCCAAACGTGTTTAAATATTTGGACTTTCCGAATTTGTTTGATTTGTTTAAGAACTTACGTGTTTATATATTTGCAAACAATATTAAAATATTATTAATATGAAAAACAAAAAAACAAATATATGTGCATATATTTCATAATTTAAATATACGTAGGAAATTTATTTTTTTACTGCACTTAAAATGCATAACATATATAATGCAAACAAAAGGTGTTCGAAAACCTGCTTAGGTTAGCGGTTTTTTTCTGTACCCTTTACTAAAAGAATTATTATAATTTACTTATATATGTATGTATATTAAATTTGTTACTTACATATATACGAGTACAGTATATATTTTATTTTTATATTATTATTAACATCATTTTTACTTTTAAAGCCATGTTAAGGGAGAGTTTACAGTCATATTCCATTGTTCACTCTACATATCTTGGTAAAGCTGTTATAAGTTGTAATAATCAGCTAAGATTATTTTAATAACATTTTAAAAAATAAATATAAAATTTAAAATATAAATTAAAACGTGTTTACATACAAATAACACTAACTCTGAGGAGACCATGGTACATTAGGACGAATGACATCCTCAGGGACATCAAGATTGATCCCATCAAAAAATACATAAAAGATAGAGCCCTGAAATTATTTGCGAAATCTGACAGACTTACCAACACCGCGTTATCAAATCTCAAAATGATTACAGGCTCCTCGGGGAGGTATGCAGATCTGAGGTCAATTATTGCTTAGTCTGATGAAGTGATAAACAATAATCTAGTCAATTCGCAAAGAGAGGTTTTGAAGAAACCTCGCAGTTAATAGAGAGTAAAAGTGCTCAGGTGCACTGACTCAACCTAGCCTCAATATAATAATATTTAAATTAATCGATGCTATTTCGATTTGCAGAACACACAATTTAACCACGAACTTTAATAGAGTCAGCTATTCTGAGCAACTTTTATCATATATCATATATCAAGGTTTAAAGTTGTTAATTTTTTACATTGACTGCACTAACAAAAACTAAACACGCCATATAATACCAACTAGATAACAAATTTTTACATTAATTACACAAACTCTTGATAACAACAAATAGATGACGCGTCTTTTTGTTACTAGTGATTTTTATACGAAAATTTCTAATTTGGAGTCCCGATATGTTGAGAAGTTAGTTGCATTGTCACTATCTTTACAAAACTCCATTTTTGTATAGGCGTACTGAAAACTCAACCAATAAATTATGCTCTTATTAGTTGAAACAAGAGCAACACATTAGTCTAATCATCAGACATGTGATTCAAGTATATTCATCTCCTATAGTATTGAAGCGTTCATCTTCAAAAGGTTATCACTGGCACACAATGCAAATCACTGCTAAGGAGTTTGCAACAATGCAGAAGTCCTTACAGAACCATAACTTCCCATACATAAAACAGTTTCATCAACAATATTAAGCGCACTATCCTTCCACAAGTTTTTCTAATAATTACTCAGTATTGAAGTTTTCAAAAACTGCAAGAACGATTGAATATTTTTATTTAAGAGGTTTTTTCGAACAGTAGTGAACTACAACAACAAAAATTTTATTTTTTATATTATTTTAATTAATTGAATTTTTGGCTGACCATACAGCTGTTTCGAGTGTTGCCAAATACCCATCATCAGTGGTCTTGAATATTTTTATTAATCTATTATTGGAAATAACCTTCATAGTGCATAGATCCAATGCCATATTTAACTACCTAATTGTATCGAAATTTAGTTCCAAGTTCATAACAGATCTCAAAAGCTAAAACTCTGATATGCTTATGTTAATCTAAACAAATGTATTCTATGACGTGCTTTAAACCATATAACTATGTCTATATGTAGTATATATATATATCAAGCCATATATATATGGTTATATATAATAGCTTACAACATAAGCCATATACATATGTATTATATGGCTTATATTGTATTCCCCTCTGCAAGTAAAGATTATTGTCCACTTCTGTTAGTTCTATTGAATCCACATATACATATGTATTAATTTATTAAATATATAACATTTATTATTAAAAGTATTAAGCATTTTATTTAAGCTAAGTCGTATTTATCTGTGTAATTCAATAGTTTACTGTATTGATAATGTATAATAATAATAATAGTAAAATAATGTATTGATAATTATTCTTATATTGGATAACATAATATTTATACATTATCTTTAATATATTATAACATTAAAATTGCAATAATAATTACCTTTCAATTCTTAATTTTAATCTCATGTTAATTACTCAGTATACGTTATTAATCGTTGTTTATTTCCATAATAAAGTCATTATTGTTTATATTTTTAATATTCTATTAGTACAGATTATATAAATTGTAAGGTTTAAAATTATTGTAATACTGTTGATTGATTGGAAAAAATTTTTAATTAATAATTTATTAACATGATCAAAATATTTTTATTCAATATAAAGCCGGATATTTCAAAATGATATAATTTAGAGATGTTATATTATTCAATTTTTTATTTAATGCTATTAACAATTTATTTTTTATGTAATTGTTTACAACTAGAGAATATGATGAAACCAAACATTCTCAAATGTGTATGACAAACAAACCGCAGTATAAAATTTAAAAAAAGTGCCAGGTAACAGCATTAAGAAAAAAGAAAACATGAAATAAAGTTTAACAATAGATAGTTTATTTTTTATTTTCTTTTTCTAAATGCTGTTAGTTGGCACATTTTTTTTCAATTTATTTTCAATTTTATAGATAAAATCTAATTATTTAATGAGCTCTAATTATTTTTACTTCAATAAGAGCAAAAAGAAACTTATTCTAGTCCTGAATTACGTAACTATTTATCTGCATAAGATAGATCGTAAATAAACTATAAATTGAAAAAATTTTAGATGCAAAATATATAAAGCCTGTATGGAAAACAAAGAGTTTACTCGAGCTGATTAAAGAGGAACAGCAGATCGCCTAATGATATCGTAAAGTGTTTCGGATCTATGAGGGTCCTACTGTTTTTTACAGTAGGTTGTGCCATTGTTATAATAACAATGGCACAACCTACTATAAACTAATTAAATAAAATTCGATTATTTCCTAAGACCAGTGATAAAGAGTACTTGGCAATACTCGAAACAGCGTTGTATGGTCAACCAAATTTCAATAAATTAAAATTAAAAAAAAAATTTTTGTCTTTGTCGTTTCTTTGCTATTCGAATCCGTCTAATAAAAAATATATTTTTTTATACTCCTTTACTCATACAGAGGTTTGAAGGTTTTGGGAGTAGGATTAATAAATATTTTTATCCTGCCTCATATATCGAATTTTAACTGAATTTTATAATTAACAAATACATGATATAGTCACTCAAGAAATATTGTGCATCAATGGACTTTAAGAAATATTGATGAACGGTTTTTAAAAAGTTTAGAAACTAAATTTCATTTCGCAAAGAGCTCAGAGAGAAATATAAATTTGTTTGTTTTGTTTAATTTATCAAACAAGGATAATTACCAACATCTTGACTTTTGCTGCTGTACATAGAGACAATGAAACTTAGTATAATACTATTCGAGACATATATTCCTAGTCAGCTGATATGTAGTTTATTGGTTTTTAGTTGCCAATTGTTTGGAAATATCTTGATAAATTTAATATATTATGGTTCAAATATATGTGAAGACAATAAGTTTGGGACAGACAAGATATAGACAAGATATATATACATATATAGATATAGTTTGATGACAGTAAGATTAGTGATTCTTTAGTTAAACTACTTATTCTATACTGGAGAGTGTAAATAACCCCATAGAATTATTGTACTCGTTTTCTAATCCGCAAATATTGAATGTTTAGAATTTTGTAAATAACATGATTATCTGGAGGACAAATTTTAATTCATATATAACTTTCAGCTCATGTAAATTTCAATTTTCAGTTACAAACTGCTCAAGTTATAGGAGCCAAGGGAAAGCTGTTAAACTTTTTGGCACTTAAATGTCAAAATAAAAGAAAATGTTAAAAAAATCCTTTACCGAAAGCGTGGTTATACCAACATGACACTCAAAGGGATAAAACAAAAGTATTAAAATTGTCCAAATGATGATTACTTTCGTTATGAACATTTTTTGACTTACGATTCGAATACTTTCTGTGTTTGCTCCTAAAGGGGATGAGAGCTTATTATTTCAGCGTACGTCTTGGGAATTGTGCGAGATTAGCACAAATTGCTGAAAACGAAATGTAGCTAGTAAATCTAAGGAAAAAATTCATATTTAACTTCAGAAAATAAAAGTTAGCTAACAAAATCAGATATCTCAACAACAAGGGTACTTCTTAAATTAAACTTAATTTCTTTGCATTTCTTTTATTAATATTAATACTTATGACTGCCATTTATTATTTAAAATTAACAACTACTGAATATAATTTTGTTTCCACCCATGAAAATAAGTGCAATTTTTAGGTCTATAAGAGAATATCTTGAGTATATCTTGACAAAAATAAATTGATTTCATAATTTATAATTTAGAAAATAAACGTCATAAGGTGCATTGCTAAATATGTTTTATAATTTAAAAATAAGTGAAGTGAATAAAATTAAATTTAGATGGAGGAGCTAATCATTTTCATTTACATTTTTTTCATATTTTCATTTTTTTGTATAATAATTTTAGTATAAATATTGTCCATCTTGCACATAGTATATGTGATATTTCCCTATCAAAAAAATTTATAAAGATCCTTGTTACGCCATATTGGAAACATTAGAGCTTTGCACGTCAGCGACATAGCACTTGAAATCAGTTTCTCATAGAAGAAAGAGAGAGAGAGTAAGAGAAGAATATGATCATTTTTGTAATTTTGCACAATGAAATCCAGTTAACCAAAGAATGCGCACTTAGAAAACAAAATTTCAAATGATCCTTTTTAAAGAATATTTTAGGAATTCTCTCTAAGAAGCTCTAAAAACAAAACTATTTTAAAAGTTTTGAGATTGCTTTTGCAGTCTATAATTTTTGAATATCATTCAAGTTGGGTTCTCTCTTGCTCAAATTTATTCTAGCGACCAAAGTTGAACATGATCACATTCAATAATTGTCATTCAAGCAAAATTTTTCAAGAATAATGGTGTTTGCGCACGTTGTAAGTGGTTTCGCATGCTGTTAGTGTGTTCGTGTAATAATGCAAAAATATGCTCTTGCTCAACTCTTTAGCTGAATGATTTGCTCAACAATATCTCTCTCTTGTATGAGACTCAAAAATGATAGTCTGCACTGCGCTTAAATTAGTGTAAATAAAAAGTATCATTTAAATAATTTATTGTACTCCTCTACCGTTTCCTTCAAAAGAGATTTTTAAAGTTAATTATAAATGAATCAATAGATATTCTAAATTCATATATTGAGTAGAATTAAAAACATTAATTTTGGGCTCTAAAAATAGTTTATATATGAATAAAATATTAGTAATGTGAATCATTACTTTCATAATAAAATCTTTCGGGATGCTTTTGGTAGACTGGACATTGTTACGCTTACAATATTATGTTCTTGCCGGAAAGTATTTTCTATCTTTATATCACAGATATTACAATCGCTTTATAGGATCATACAAAAGTTAACAAATTTTAAGCTTTAAGTTTCACGATACTATAAACGGAACTGAAAACATATTCAACCGTCAAGCTGCGCCAAAGAATTTATATAGTTCAAAACTCTTATAACATTTATAAATCATTATTATTTTTATTGTGTGAAGACTACTATATAGTACACAATGACTCAGGTGATATATTATGCTCACTTCAGTGGCTTTTATCGATCATTTGTTAAGGTGAGCACCTTTGATGATTTTGTATTGCTCCATATGTTGTAAATGGCTGTCCCGAAAATGGATATTTCTGCTAAAGAACTCATAACTCATAAAAATTAACTACTGCTAAGATCATTTGTCCAAATTTTGTTGATAAAATGAACTTAAATGCTAATGATAACTAGGAACAATTGAATGTATTGGATCAGATTTATATAAAGATAATATACAACCTTATTGCCGCAAATTCCTATATGGCAGTCAAAGGTAAATCTTTTTTTCTCATATACCTTCATAACTACATTTTCACAACGCGTTAATAACAACCATTATTCATCACTGAGGTATGTGCACATATATGTACATATATTTGTTTTTCATAAGGTTATTAATATTAAATTTTTTGAATAACAATTATTTGTTTAAAATTTGTAAATTGATGTTTGTGGAACATTCAGATATGAACACTCGTTCCCATCAACAGAAGTCGCGTGCTTCTTAATTAATATAATTGTTCTTCAGAGCTGAGGTTTGAAAACTTATTGACGACTTAAATCAGTGAATGAAAAATGACGCGAAACTTTTTATGCAACGAGAAAACTGGGCTGCGGCATGTGCCTCATAGAACCATTCGATATATGGTATATGCTTTTATTCTGAGTAAGTAAAATTTATAAAAAAAATATGGGAACAATGTACTTTGTAATATGTTATTATAAATTTATTGTTTACATTTATCTATGTTTACCCTTTATGTAATCGGAACGTAATTATATACAATATTAATATTAACAGCTTATAAAAATATGTTATTATGCAAACTGTTTTGCAATTAAAATTATAATCTCGACAGAATATTGAATAAAATTTATAGAATAAAATCAACTTAATAGTTAATAGTTGGAATAATTCCACACTGACTATTGTTATGAATTTCGATTAATGGATACACAGCTGACGTTCATGAAAGTATGATGTAAACGGTTTTTGTTTTCACGAATGCATTTTATATAGAACATCTGTTATAAAGTTGTTGATTGCTTATTATTTAGAGCAGGGTTTTCCAAAGCACGGTCCACGAGCCACATGCGGCCGGGGATATATTTCCCTTGATTTACTTTGGTAAAATTACATTATTTTATTGGGATACCATATACCAAAAAAATTCAAATGAATAAATTTATAAAACTATATTTAACATTATCACCGTATCTCCAAAAAAACCATGGACGTATATACTTGTTTCTGCGGCCCTTCAATCTGCACAGTAATTTGTATTGCCCCCCGAATGTATCTTTCTGGACAGTCCCGATTTAGAGAATTCAATATATCGGGTATTCATTAAACCAAGATTTAAGAGTCTCATATATTTCATATATATATTGCAGAGAGTACATGAAGACTTTTTGATATTAGGACTTTTACTTCCCTATTTTGTAGATAGAATTAATTATATCATAATTGTATTCACGTAGTCGATACTATTAGATAGAATTTAAGACACTTCTTTATCCTCCAGACTTCTGAACACATTATAGTTCAAAGATAATGAAATGTCTCTTTAGGAATCAGATCTACATCGGATAATATAAAATTGATTAGGTTGCCATGTTGCCCTGTTAATAATTGATTTAATTCAATATGTTCCCATTCAAAAAAAATATTTTGAGTATTTCAACCTCATTATTTAAGCGATGAAAATTTTATGTTAAAAGTCAGTAATTATTCCGAATTTTGATAGTATTTATTTGTTATTTATTCTTTTTGTTTTATTTCAATAAGGAAGACTGCATTTTTCTCAGAATAACCGGAAAGCGAACAAAGACTATCACATATTCTGCTAAAAGTAATGGTAGGATAATGTTAACACATTGAATGTTACATTTCTTAGTATGTCTATGTCGTCTAAATCTGGTGTGAACAAAATGTGCATTGTATAACTGAGGACTTCTCCTAGTAAAACTCTTTCAGTCAATAAAATAATATTTTTTTTATTGACTTAGTATTATTCTGACTATAGTCAAAATATGTGCAAAATTCGATATATAGTCCAAAACAAAGTTTTTTGAATTTAAACGCATTTAAAATTCTATCTGAAAATTATTTATATTTGTCTATTTTATATTTCTTATAAGATATTTATAAAATATTGATATTTACAAGAGCACATAATTAAAACTAATCAGCTATGTTTGGTTAGGTAGAAGGTACAGCCTTGTGCTATATTAAATTTTAGAGCTAGGGTTGCTTCTGTAATTCATAAAATCACTTTCTGGTCCATTTTAAAGATTTTACTGCTTTCCCAAAATTTCGAAATACTAGTGAAAAAGGCAATATAGTAGAAAATGTTGCTCAGAATATTTACCAAAATAGGTTCTTACATCATGGTACCCGAGAAATCGCATTGTCTCCGACTTATCTTAGAGTCCCAAACGATACTTCATTGAAAAACATTCATAGTTTAATTCCTACTATTAATAACAATAAATAATTAAAAATAACTTCTAGTTCTAAACTTATTTATTTTTTTACTTAGAAATTGATTTATCAAAGGTGACACATGAAGTTATAATCCGCTCATGGTTTTTAATTTTATAAAATTGTTAAAGATTATACACTTAAAAAGATCATAAGAAGAAATGGCTATTGTAATTCATAAGATTCATTTCCATCTAAATAAATAAAATATTCAGCAATTAGATATATCGTTAAAGCAATTGCCATCTTTTTTTGAACTTATTATAGTAACTACACTCAAATTAAAATTAAACTACATAATAATTTCTTAAATTTTATATTTTTTTAATATTATTTATTTCAATGATATAATAAATATTGTAAAATGGAAGCATATCTCTATTATACACCTTTAAATTCTCAAACAAAACTAGATAGGCTTATCCGCCAAACATTGAATGACTTTTATCAGTTGGAACTAACCAAAAGGTTCTCACTTAAAATCATAGACACTTCAAATGTGGGTACGTGTAAATCTAAAAATCATTGGTGCTTTTGGTTTATTTCTTTACCTGCCACACTTTCAAAAATGCATTCGATAGTAAACTTTTAATGGGTTCTCAAACCCAAATCCTGAATAGAAAGAAGTCTTACGAGTTCATATCGCCCATTATATTTAATTAATTCATAATGGTTGAATAACGCTTGTAAGCATCTTTTTATGTGAAATATCGTGGAATAGAGTTACTGCAATTCACAATATATTCACTGCCAAACAAATCAATGCATTCGAAGGAAACTACAGCGCGCTTCGTCAGATAAAAAGCAAAGGACATAAATTAAGTTCAGCATATTTAGCATCAACACACCTGCGATTGTGCATCGCAGGTTCCAAAGTCTGTCAGTTGCTTCTATTCTATTCTATACTAGTGTTTTAATTCTTAGGATATGTTTTGAAATGTGTAACTGCAATTAAATTTGTTTGCCTCATAACTCCAGAAACTCCATAGTTTTCTATTTCTATTTCTATTTCAAATAATATTCAATGGTTCAATAGTTTTTTATGTTTTCATAGTGTTGAAACAATACAGGATGGGACAACTTTTAATGATTTTTATTCATCGTTAATTGCAATATCACATATTCGTATCACATTTTTGATTTCGTTTGCTTGAGATATGTATGCAAAAACGTATAACAAAATATCCGCAATACTGCGCATTCCCCATAATCCTCACTGCAGAAGTTGTGGAAACCCGCAGGAAAAAGATACCATAAGACATTTTCTCTATGAATGCCCGGCTTTGGCGTCCAGAAGTTAAAGGTTCTTAGAAAGATATTTCTTTGATAGTTTATCAGACAGACTATTAAATTATCTAAATTTGGATTTAGTTTCTACTCTTCTATACTAGGGTTCTTGCGAGGAATGTAGTAGCAAAACTACCAAAATCGCTATTTGAGTTACATGGAAGTTATCTAATTGCCTGGTACTGCAACCAACCAACCCGCAAAAGTTGAAGTGATTGAACTTTCTTAAAGACAAATCGCAAATCAACTCTGTTAGATCTATAATGAATCAAGATTTGTGGCTTTTATTCTGTTCGGAGAAGATCTGTGAAGATTAACATGGCGGGAGCAAAAAAATTAAAATCAAACTTCAAATTGTAAAACTGCTTTAGCTTCTCAGCAGGATAGGCTGTTTAAGCATATGAAACTAATATGGATACATAGTCTATGCAAGTGCATCACATATTGAAATCTGCAAAGAACTCAGTTATATATACTTATAGTATTTACAGGAACTTCATGGTAGATCGAAAATGAGAAAATCCACAAAGATCGTTATATACCTATGGTGAAATAAGAATACATGAAATTTTAAATAAAAATACGTTAAAAAAATATATGCCTATATTAATCTAGATACTAACATACTAAAAGATCAGTCCTCCCTAAAAAAAACTCAGACGTATTTTATTTTATTATTTATTATTATTATTGTTATTACTCGTCTTCTTTATCTCTTCTATTCATAACACTTTCCATAACCTACTCATTGATAGAGCATGTACCTTTCTATTCTTTCCAGGTGTATTATAAAAGACCTATAAAATAGTTAACCAAGTAGTTTTAAAATTTAAATACTCCTTGTTCGTCACTAATAGAGATGATAGAGAGGATTTAATAGATACATTCAATGTATAAAAAAAATGACAAAGGCATAATTTCGGCATTGACATTACTTCTACAGCACTAGTTTTTAAACTACATGAACTCGTTTGCGAGTGTCATTAAATAATTTTGTATTTTAATATAAATTACTTAATTAACTGAAATGCAGGATTATATTATTCCTTGAAAACAGTAATATTATTTTATAGTTTCCCAAAGGTAAACTAGTGCGGTACAAAGAGACATCATCATAACAGTTAAGCATACAATGACACTGCAAAGAAGGAAATAAACTTCCACCTAACCATGATGGTTCCCTATTCCTCCAAACTCATGAAAATTTAAAACGTACGTGAACTTCCTTTTTAGTAGACTTTAAAGAAACTCCTACTAAAATTTAATACTTTAAGGTTAATTATTTTGCATATGTCTAATTGTAAATAATTATTTAAAAACACAAATATATTAAATAAAAATCAATATGCAAAATCATTTTTCTGAGGAGTAAAAAATTCTCTTTGTAAATATTTTCAACCGAAAGCCATTAACAATTTTTTTTCATAAAATTTTTGTAATTATTTCAGTTAAAAAATAGCGACCAAAAATTAAATTCCAAAACTGAATGTTCAGTGTTTCAGTAAAAATCTGTAAAATATATTAATACAGTGCTCGGTCGAAAACGTTAACAATGGATTACGTGAACATTTTTTCTTTACTGCCCAATTCACTGCCCAATGAAATGAGCATATCTCCTCCAAAAAGGTAAACAAAGTCTCCAACATAAGCAAAAATTGTGAGATTAATTAGTTCAAGTTTTCGAGCGAACACTGTATTGGAGCTCATAATTAAACATTATGCTTTTTACATGTATATTCGTACTTGTTTATGTAAAATATTATTAATGCTCTATGCATCTGTAGATATTTTTATTTTGAAAAAATAAAGTTACTTTTACTATGACGACTACTGCCCTTTAATAGGCTTATTTTCATTTGCAAAGTTAGAAAATTGAAAAGTCCTGGGCAATAGATTAGGAGACATTTACTTTTTCAATCGATACAAAATTTTCTTCTATCCAAATCACTCTTTGATTTTAAATGGAATCATATCGTTGAAATGTATTTATGAGATACAAGACGAGGCTTACGTTATTGATACGCAAACGTTTTTTTTAATTACAGATAATAAGGAATTCTCTACTTAAATTCGCACACAAAAACTAAAACGAAACACCAATGACGGTTTGTGTTTTCATCCCATATGCAGCAATATATCTCGTCCTCACATTGTCTGTTGTGAAAGTCATTTTTACGTTTAGCTTATTATGGGGACACACAAAAATATATCAACAGTGACAGTTGGTTTTAGCTTTTTCGGTGGGGTTCGTACTGGCTTCATTTTGGTACTCGTTTTTTGTGTGTAGATGTGTCATATGCTACCAGCTTTTGTTCAAACAGTGCGATTCCAGTAGCTGAACAATACAGGGTTATCAATTTTATGGTTTCATTGTCGCATATATGTCACTTAACTTTCCACATGTGCCATTGTTCAGATATAACTTAGCGTAAATTTAGTAAAACTGCGTAGCACAAATTGCGTAGTAAGCTCTCTACCAAATATATAAATAACAGTGACTGCTATTAATATATGCTGTCGCGTATACAATAATATAAGTATCCTAATATATACTATGATAATAATAATTCCAACCAAAACCCATAAACTATTTCCGCCCTTCAAACCATTCAGAACGAAGTAAGATATTGGACAGGCAATTAATATTGAAATTTGTGAGTTTATTAGGTTAAGAAGTAGGATTTTACTAAACTATCACATATCTATAGGACATCGGTAAAGTTCGATTTTGGTTGTTTTTCTCAGACATCAAGATTAATTAGGATAACTGCAAAATGTATAAGTAAACTAAGCATAATACCATAACTCAACACTTGAAATATTTGAACTGCAATGATTTCGATTATCTATCCTTCAAATGCTCTTTTATTGAACAATAAAATATCTTATCGGAGATATGACTTTAGCGAGGAGAAGATCAAAAATCTTTGGGGCTTCTTACCGACCTGACCGAACTGTTATCCTGTGATATTAGGGACCTAGCCAAGTTTATAGAACTGTCAGATTGGTTTTCCTTTACTTAATGGGGGAGTCGTTACCTTTTTCAGCATTTCAGCATTCCTGTGGTACCATAATTGGACATTATTTGAGCTCAAGTGAGCTTTTTAGAAACAATACCCCCACTCTAACCTACCTACCTACCTATTATTAGGAAGATATATATTAAAAACTGATATTCATCATTGGAAGTTAAGCGACAAATAAATTCCAACAATCTTTATTCATAAAAACAAATGCCATGTTATCTCTAAATCAGATTAGTAGACATAACAAATAACAATGTAACTCGATCTGTAAACCAGCACATAATGTATACCACAGCAGCTAACACTGCTAATATATTGTTTCTTTTTCAAATGCACAACAATGTTCCAAAACGCTATAATTTGCACCTAATAAATTTGGTCATAAGTAAACCCTTTCTAGAACTACACAACTAAACTAACTCGAATAGAAATCAAATCATTAATAAAAAATTAATAATATGGACTAACTAACCTAGTTCAACGTGTGAAGATTCTTTATTGTATATGATAGGTTAAATCTTGTCTTAACTTCTTTTATGGGCGTGTTAAGCCTGTTTCATTTCGTGCCTCTGGATCAATAACAAAAGTTAGACGTATGTCCAAAGATTCGAAGTCTTTTCTACGAATGTAGAGGTCGTATATTCTTTATTCTATTTATTCTAAGTTTAAGGTATTATTCACATGTGAAATGAAAGCTATGGGCTGCTGATGGGTGGTCGGGTTGTGTCTTCTCGTTTAATCGCTTAAATTAAATTTTGTCTATGACGTTCTGTTTTACCGCTTTGCCGCTTTTATACCATATACCTACCATATATTTATTTTGCACCATTTTGAGTGTTGGTACAATCCTAAATATGTGCTCAAATATGTCTCAAAAATTATCATAAGGAATAAATGCATATTGTTTTCGATTAGTTTAAAATGACACTGAAATGTATTTGTGTTTCATGTGTAATTACACATTTGATGAATATTTAAGAATTGACTTTCCTCGATGCTCCTCATGCCTCTTCAATAGCAAATGAGATTTCGCCCAATTTATACCTCTCACTCGGCCGTTGAAGGAATGCAATTTATAATATGATAATATAATTTATATATATCATATTTGTGATAAATAAATTTGCTAACAAACACTAACAAAATCATCAAGTATCCTTCATGCTATATAAGAGTAGATGATGGCACTAGTATATTATTATTTTTTTTTTTCATACTCGTCTGTACAGTACATATTCATTAATATGAATTTTATTATGAATATATTAATGGACAATTTTTTTAATTTTAGTTCTTAAATCGGCAAGCAATTTTTATCATAAGGAATACAATAGTATGGGTATGGGTCCAAAAATTGATTGTTTAAAAAAGTAAGCCAGGAAAAATACACCAAAAAGTTGATGTTATGCAATAAATTGAACAGCAAATATGCGCTGGACAACAATTGGGACCAAAAATGGGCAAACAGAAAAACGGTTTTTGTTTGCGAAGCGCTGGAAATGTGACGGAGGTTAGGAGGTTCGAAGACCAATCGCACAGAAAGTACCTTTGTAAAAAAAACGGAAATTGAAAGAAATTTGCATTGTTAAAAATATTTATTTATTGTGGTATTGGGCTGTGTGTTTTAAAACAAAGATTTTTATATGATTTAAATTTTAAAATATTTATTCTAAATATTTATAGTATTAAATAATTTCGATATTACTTTGTGACTATGGACGGGAAAAGGATGGAAAAGGGTGGATGGAAAAGGGTGGAAAGGGGAAACCATTTTTGTAATTTCAACTATGCGATTTCAAAGAACAAATTCTATAGAATAGTTATCCCGTCCATTTATCACGATTATTACCCAGAAACAACAATAAAAAATGCAATATTTCTATTTAACCACTTTTGTGCAAACTTTCAAGCAAAAACAGAAAAAATCCTTCACAATCTATTCCTTTCGTCCACTGCGATTTTAGTTTAAGTTCAATTCGTTAGTGTTTTTTCTGGTTCTTATACTATACTATATTGAACGCTTTTATATATCATAGTACAAAAGTTGTATTGCTAAAGTTTTTTCTGCTTTACTTACCCGTACTTACGAGTACGTAGTACGTACTACGTAGCAGGATTTTTTGCTCCTTTTAATTTTTAATTCTTTTAAAAAAATTATACAACTTTCGATTTGTTTCAGTTTCATTCGTACTAACGACGTCCGTGAGCAGCGAAGAATGTGGACAAGAGGAATTTACCAAATGTGCGGAACCGATCGAAATATTACATTTAACCTCAGAGTTTTCCATTGGTGGCGCTAAAAAGGAAGAACTAGATAAACTTTGTCAGTAAGTTAGTTGTCAGATATTTTTAAATTTTATTTTTTTTTATACTCTCGTTTAAAGTGTCCATTTTAATTACCAAAATTAATAGTAAATAAAACTGAATTAGTTAAATTGCCTTATTCCATATTCCATACTCCATACTCCATACTCCACACTCTAAGCTCCATACTCGAACTGGTGCTCGTACTTATAATGAATCCGTATACGAATCCAAATACGAATAGGAGTGTATGCAATCCTAACCTATAGTAGATTAATAATGCTAAATACTCATATTTATGTCTCTGTAGGTTTCGTCTTTCGTCCTTTCATGTTACACAAACCAAATTTTTATTCATCGGTAATAAGCACGTTTTTTATTTTGGTATTTGCTTATAATTTGACCTGCTGCAATTTGTATTGTAAACATGTTTTTCACTAAACATTTTCATTTAATATTGGCTTATTTTTTGTGTTCCTTTAAAATTTTTGATGCTATCAGTTGATATAGTTTAAGCAAAGTTTCCAACGAAAAATGGCAGGAGTGAAATATTTTATTCGGCAATCGTCATGGGACTTAAATTGAATTTGCAACTTTTTGTTGACAAACTTTTTTTAATACATTTTTAAAATCAAGAAAAGAAATACTTATCACTGGCTATTTTAAATGCATTCCATGATTCAAACAAAAGTTAATATAGAGTAGAATAGGTTGGAAAATCAGCTTACTACATAAAAAGCAAATATAAAATCTCTCTCCTTCTTATATAAGTATATATATCCTTATATAGTATGTATACAGACTCCTATATATACATATAAAGTACATAACGATAGATAGAAACTGTATTAATAATTTTAAGTGAAGTTGTCTACTATTTCCAAAATTTGTCCATTTGGGCAACTGCCACATTTCATAGCTCGACACTGATTTATATTGAGTTTTATGCAATTGGCTCGATTTTTTCAGTTGGCTAACTTATTAAACTTCAACAATTGTGGAATGGGACCAGTTGTTCAAATTTCAATGGCCTTTTTTTTTTCTTTTGTCTTTTTATATTTGTTTTTTTCCCACCCAAAATTTGCCTAAAATAATAATAGATACTACATACCTGATTATGTAGAAAAACTGCACAAAAAAATTATCGCACAAATTCAAAAAATAAGTAATAATCCTGAAAACAAAAAACACAACTAATATAAAATAAAAATAATAAATAACAAATTATTATTTAAGCTTTAATGTATATTTTAATATGAAATACTTTTATGTTAATTCGATATTATAGAAAATAAATAATTATATAAAATTAACATATCGTGTTATATTAACTTACTCTTAACACTAAATTAACTTACCTACGAAGAACAAACTGTCAAACTGTCATCTATTGTGTAGATGTCCAGTACCAGCAAGTAGCAGGGCTACCATTCTTTAAAGACAAGAGCAACTTAACATCACAGTAAAGGTTTTTCGAAGAGCGTTTTTTTAGTTGCAAATACATAGGAGTAGCGTTTTGAAAGACATAGTCAACATATCGGACGAAATTGTAAGATGGGGATAGCACAACACAGAGATATTTGAGCTTGTCAGCAAAATGAATCGAAATCTAGCTCAATGAGTGTAGTATGAAAACCTTTAGTGCGATCTCACCTTTAGCCCAAAAGGAGGGGTCGCAGAAATTGAGCATAATCTTCTTTCCGGTGTAATGACTGTAAAGGGTTCTAAGATGGCCATTAAAGGTTATTCTATTTTCGAAGAGAATTTTTTTTAGTTCCAAATACGTAGGAGTAGCGTTTTGAATGACATAGTCAACATATCGGACGAAGTTGTAAAGTGGGTAAGGTTGTTAGTAAATTGAATGTGGATATTGTCGAATTCTAGCTCGATGAGTGTAACATCAAAGCCTTTAGTGGGATCTCACCTTAAGCCTTAGAGGGCGATGGCAGAAATCTTGGTGGAATTGAGCTTAATCTTCTTCCTAGTGTAGTAACTGTGAAGGGTTTTAAGGTGGCCATTAAGCTGGTAAAATTTAGAACCAATAAAGACGAGACAGTTGTCAACAAAGCAAATTTACTTGACAGAGGCCTGCAGAAGAGGTATATCTACTGTAAACAGGTTCAAAAGAAGTGAACCTAAGAGAGAAGCCTGGAGATCTCCAGCGGTGATGAGGAAATCGCAGGACAGGGCGAAATCAACTCGGATTTGAATCCGAATTGATTGAAATTGTGTACAATAACCGTTCAGAGTGATTTTTATGGTGTAGTAACAGTGCCTGAAAACGAATAAAGGCTATCCTTTAATCGTTTAGACTACGTAACACATAAACTAGTAGTTTTGTAGTAGAGTTTTGAGCAGTCTCTAGTATTTTAGCTGTTACTTTTAGATATTTTGAAATGGCAGACTAGCACTTGAGCTGTTGCCGTATAAAGTTTCGATCTGATCTTTTATTGTTCATATTGTTATTTATATACAAAATAACAATAAGTGTATTTACAATTTCTATTAAATTAATATAATTCAAAATAACATATGCATTAATTTGCAGTATACAAATAAAAACTAAACAATTATTAACAAATTAACAAAATTGTGCAAGCAACAAATTATTACAACATATATTTTTGCTGCAAAAAATATAAATAATAAATTTACAAATAAAAAATATGACTATTAATAACAAAAATATTAACTAATATACTTTGAAAACAAAAATTCTGCAGAACATGAAGGCCTAAGCCTGAACAGTGCCTATTGAGTACTTGGACGAAAGAATTAGCTCAGTGATCACTAAAACTTTTTCTAGTTCTGATACTTTTTTATAACTTTGTTGGTCACCACACTTCCGCTAGATTACCTTTTTTATTTTATTTTTTTTAGTATTACCTGGAATTGTAATTACTAAAATTAACTAATAATAATAATCACTGCTAGTATTATTAATAGTAAGGGTGCTTTTATTCGGCGGTTCATGACCTTCAGACGGCTCTATAGATGATCTTTAGATCTTTTCTGCCAATATTAACGTGAGCTATACTTTTGCAAATGCCGGATTTAATTTATCGAAAAGCTCTTTTGCACATACTAAGCGTAGCTCACTATGACACATTTCTCTTAAAATTTAATCAACATATGTGATATGCTTTTTATTTAAATAAAACCCAATCATTTTATCAGATTATTATTTTATTGATTGTAGTGAATTACGAAAAGGTGTAAGATGTATACAGAGCTACACAAGAAGATGCATGGACTTACAACAACGTAATCAATTTAATAGATTATACCATGGAACCAACCAATTTATTCGAGACTTGTGTAATAAAGGCGAATTTCAAGATGGTAAGGAGATCCATTTAGAAAATTCTTTTGACAATTTGTTAATAAAGCCTGCACTATTATTTTATGAATAACTTTACTGCATTTCATTATTGTTCTAGAATATCTTAGGCATGCACCTTGTAGTGAAATTGCTAAGAAAGAATTTGAGACTTGTGCCAACCAATTTAAGGAAACCATGGTCTTTCTTAAACCAAATAAAAATCAGGAAGCCGCCGAAAATAACACCTTCGTTGAAAATGTGAAAACAATTTGCTGGTTAGTACTAAACTTAATACAACGATCAAGTTCACTTATGTTATTAATTTATTTTAGTTCCATTAACGAGCTGGTTGACTGCTTTGAAGATGCAGCGAAAAAAATCTGTGGGTCGGATGCTGCTAAATTCACACGTGAGTTGGTCGATAAGTACGCACACAGCTTAACAAAGGTATGAAGATGTATTGGTCCTGGGTGTTGCTATTATGCTGTAATTATTTTCATTTCAGTTTTATTGCGAGGACTATACACGACATCCTGAATATTGTCAAGGTGAAGGCAATACTTCAACTAGGTTGGGAAGTTGCTGGCAGTTTGTGTTTACAACCGTAATTATTAGTCTACTTTTAAGAAAGGTTTCATTCTCTCAACCCATTGAGGCGATATCGAGATGGTCTTGGATATAACGTTATATTTACAACGTCGTATATCGAAACATTACTTTAAAAAACATTTTTATTATGTTTATAAACTAATAGGATAATAATATATATATTATATATAACTTAATAAATAAAATTGAAATAATTTGTTGTAGAATTCGCACGTGCTAATTTATATAGGAATTTTTATTATAAGTGAATCTTTAAAAAAGACAAAAAGTTAGCGGAAACTTTAGTATAAAATTATGCATTATCTAAATATGAAAGCTTTAAAAATATTATTTTTATTATTAGGCGTTAGTATAATATCTGCTCATTATTTAAATTTATTTTAAAAATTTAAATATGCAGATATTTTAAATTAAATCTTACTCACCAAATTGTTATTTTATCTACAATATTATTATAATATTATAATAAAAAACTTCTGTAAATCAGGTAAAAATATGAAACCATAACTATCAATATACATAAATACTTTGTAGCGTCGTGTATATATTAATATGAATAAAAATACAATAAACGTTAAATTCAAATTTTTGTTTGATATTTTTTCAAAATATTAATTAGAATAATTAATTAAAATTTACATATTTAGTTTTGACTGCAGATATGTGTATATCAACTTGAGGTAAGCTTATGACATTTATACTAAACAAGTTCATATCTTTACAGTTTTATTTAAAGTTTATTATAATTTCATTATATTATTATTGGATTTTATATAAATTATTATGAAGATAATACCATGCACGTAACCAAGGGGACACATATGGAGTGGTAACCATTCTATAAAAAGTGAACAAAGAAATATTTCATAATCTTTAATTATGGAAAGGCGTTCTTCATTGAATTTCGCTCCCTTCCTCCATCTTAGATATGATATATCTATTGCGTTGGTATGTGCTTTTGTATTTGCTGGGAGTTGTTAAAACCATATTCCCTATACGACAACCTTTATTTTACCAATGACTTAAGACTTGATTTTAATTAATTCAAAAGATTCACTTACTAGCTTCAACCATAGATAATTACATGTTCATTGACTGACTTATTTAATAGCGACAAACAATTCCATCATATATGTATCTCTGAAGATCCGCAAATCTCTCTCTTTTGTATTCAGCTTTAGTCCGATTTGTCGAGTGGCTTATTAAAATTGTACGGTTAACTGATCTAACCCATGATATATTCCGCAAATTTTATTATATCGTAACCCCTTGATCTTCCAGTAAATCTAATATTTTTCACTGTAACTGATCCTAATTTCAATTCGCTTATTTGTACCTTGGATAAGAAGATTTTGAGATTATTAAGAAAATAAACACATATTCATAATCGCAGCTATAAACCTTACCGTAATCAGCTAATCGAAATTATTTTAAGGATTGAAAGAAAGGCTTTATGAAATAAAACTCCGTATCATGTAAATATGTATATACTAATTAATAAAAATTTACTGGTATATGTGCAAAATAAAAACAATACTATAATAATAATTAAAATATCTTGCAGTCTTTGTCATGTTAGTTAGTTGTTTCCAGTTGATGTCAAACAGAATCTTTAATATATATGCAGGTGTAGGTGGGTGGAAATAAATAAGTCCCACTTATTACTGTTAAAAGATAAGGTTTAGTTTACTATCGTGCGGACATATCTACATATCTTCTTTCTGTTAGAGTAAAGACCCTTCGTCTTGAGTATGGAAGGCGTTGGATTCTAATGCGCATCTATTTTCTTGAATAATTTTTATGCTCCATTCTTTCTGTATTTTTCAAAAGTGTCAATTTGCAGTTGTTTCGAAATATCTACTATTACGATATTCAATGGAGTTTATAACATTCTCTTCAGCACTGTGTGTTGGAATGTTTTTAGTTGTTTAGTTGTGGACTAAGCTGCTTTGCCATAAAGCAATGAACCATATTGAAAGCGGTTCTGATGATCTGTTTAAAGATTTATACTTTGCTTTTATAATCTAATCTATTACAGTTGAGGAGTAGATAAAAAAATGTAAATATTTATGCACATTTAATTTTTTTATTTCTTATATGAGCTCTATATTTAAAGTTTTTATGGAGAGTCAATTTTCAGATAATAAATTTTCGTGTTAAAGATAAATAATAGAATGTATCCAATATTACGCGAAATATTTAGCGATGATGTCTTTCAAACCTTTTTCGAAAATATTATTAAAGCCGTTAGCCGGAGGAGCAAAATGTCAATGGTCAGCTAACAATGAGCATCGAACAGGAGGTAAATACGCTGTTTAAAGAAGTCTAATATTATAATCACAACAATTGCGCATTGGATCCAAACACAATTGGATCGCCGATTTAGCCAATGCACATAAACATGATATACACAAAGAGAAACGATTGGCGCTGCTTACCGAACTAACCCCAATAAAACAACAAATTGTCAAAAAAACTGCTTTTGGCATTTTGTTGAATAAACGTTCAAATAACCATTGTAGAGCACAACTAAATTTTTTTTAGATCTCCGAAATACCAGTAATTATTGCATCCGGTATTTATGTTCAGTTAGATAAACTGGTAATAAAATTCAATCAGATATTCAAATCCAGATATTTGGAAGCTGAAGCTTTTGATTAAGCTGTTACTAATACAGCGTAATGTCTAGAATCTTTTCAATCCAGTCAGTTATAAGAAGGACCTTAGGTGGATGCTAAACATGCATATCTCCAGAAAAAGTCATTCAAACGTTAAAATTTAAAAGTAGTTTTTTACATTTTTGCGTTCCATTGTTTATTTTTTTTTTTTTGTTGTCTTTATCTATGGTATTGACCATGTAAACATATTTGAATTGAATAGGGACTACAAAACAGGTACGATTACATTTAAACGCGAAAATATTTTATTTCAGAGTTTATTTTAGAGATGGCAATGGTTTGTGGTTGTTGCTTTGTTTAATATTGTATATGCGTCAAAAGCGGTTTTGTCGCGTTGGTCCTAAATTCCAGAATTTATGTTCCTGTTCCTACATTTAAATTGCATTGCTATTGCCATGCTTTCGTTTCGGTGCTCCTTTATTGTTTTTCTTTTCACACTTGCTGCCGCAAAGTAGGGGCAAATGCCACTTGTGTCGTAAAGTACACATAGCAACGAAAGCAACAAAACCACTTTTCATATTATACTTTTTGGCACGGAACGCACTAAAAAACTTGTCTGGAATTTCGTACGCTAAGTCTAAAATGAAATCAACTCTTTCCCTACTGCAGGTTCGGTTAATTCTACAGCAGTCGGTCATGCACCTAAAAGCATGCTGCACTTTTCATCTAAATTAATGACCTTGAATTAGAAGCATACATACAAACCAAACTACTATATATAAAATTAATAGACTTATTTAAATAATACTTTCTATTCATTGAATAGAAATAGAATTTAATTATAACTGCATGTATATAATGTTTAGTAGAGTAGTATTCTAGAGTTGAATAGTGTTTTCCAATATATCGCAGCAATATTATCGTTTCCATTTAACCCATTATCTGACGCTACTAGAAGGAGGCGGAATTTCTTAAAGCCGTTTTACTTGTGCACTTATGTACTCCTAATTAAGAAAAAAAAATTTTTTTTTTTTGCTAACCCGCCCAGTTTAGGCTGCACCCACTGTTGCGTTTTCGCAACATTGTCAGAATAAAGGTTCACATACCAAAAAGTTTTGATGTTTTAATATTATTAATTTTTTATTTTTTGTGTGTTTTTTGAACATTTAATTCACTTCTTATGATAATTTATAAAACACTTAGGGTGCAAACCAATATTACATTTGGTACAGATATATATGGTTTCACTGCGACACAATTTACACCTTTGTCTGTTAGGTGTTTGGGATACTGTATGATCAACATTGTCGTATCTTGATGATGTTGGCATGTTTGGGTGTCGAAAATCTGATCCTCAGTTATTAGCAAATACTCTGTTACTTCTACATGGAAGTCAGCTTGTGATATAATTGCCTGTTTTTACCATTTTTTTGAAAAATGCAATAGGAGTTTCCAAGCGTTAACCATCGCTGCATCAAGTCCATTAGTTATAAGAGGCCAGTACCATTTTTTTCCTCGAATCCGTATTCGGTAATTGTTTATAGTATTGTCAAACAGATCAACGCCACCCATGTTTTATTATAATGGTTTATAATGTTTGGCATGCTGATATTACCCATTTTCTTCTCTTTTCTAATATAGCCTTTGGTAGTTTGCATAGGAAGAGTTGCGATGTGGTGTGATGCTACTGTAACTACAGAATTGTCATTCCATCGACATAAATATACATTGTTGTCGACATTGTATACCGCATCACTTGCTCCTCGTAGCTGCTTAGATATGTCCTTTACATTTACATTTATATTTATAAATTTTGGACCACTTTAGTTTTTCTTTTTTGTTTTTTTTTTTTTGATACGTTAGTTTCAACTTCATCGGCCGTATAATTGAAAACCATTTCTAATTCACCTGCTACTTCATTTGGTAGTTGTTCTCCATCCTCCATCAACGTGTCATCTAATTCCTCCGCATCACTCTGGTTATCGACATTGGGCGGAGGCAAGATAGTAATGCGTGTACTATCAGGGGAATCAATATCATTAGATCCCATCAAAATATCTTCAATATCACACATAGATAAAAACTTTCGTTGTTCACTTATTTTAACACTAATGTTTTAAGGGTGAATATTAAATTGACACTAGAAATGTTGATTTGAATCTAATGACTGTATTAGAAGTCTTAGTGTATTTATTCAATAATTTATATTTATACACCAACATTGTACAGTTTCTAAGAAGAAGTAAAAAATTATACTGAAATACCATAAAAAATCATAAGATAACATTAAATATTTTAAAACATGGGAATATTTATCGTGATAAGTTGGAGCAAGCTTATTATTTAATTGCTATTACGCTAAAAAATTAATTGAGACTACCTGCTACAAGCAATAGTTTCTTTACCGGAAAAAAACTTTAGTACTCGTTTCTTGACATTGTTGCGTTTTCGCAACACCTGACTTTGAGAGTTTGTGTAACGTACATATATCACCAAATAGCTTACAATTTATATAGATTCGCTAGAATACACTATTGTAATTAAGATTTAGGTAAAAAATTAACACAAATTTTCTCCATTTATATAACACATGCACAAAAATAAGCAAAAGTCGTATAATTTTAAAATAACACAAAGACGGCTCTGCAAAATCTTC